AGTCTTATTGGTGAAAACCTCACCGGCATCATAAGGCGATGGTAAGCAGAGAAATTCGAAAATGAGAGAGTCTTGTTAGTGAAAACTCACAAAGAGCACTATAAGGCGATGGTGAGAAGAGAAATGAGAGAGGCCAGCTGGTGAAAACCCGCAAAGGGCGCCACTGATCGAAAAGAGAATCCTCACAGTCACTGGCATCGACACAGTCCTGGGCAAAGTTTCTCAGTCTCAAAGCAAGAGTTGTGATGAATTTCTGAGAGATGGACGGTTTACACAGATTAGGCATCTAGTCCAAGAGGCATGTCATGTTCATTGAAGTTTGTATACACTCCAGATAAGTCCTTCTTTCTTTTCCCCGAAAGGGATACTTCTTGTCTAAATTCATTTGTCTATTCCATTGTTTGCTTTTCTTTGAATCCTTTTCGGTTTAACTGTGTTATGAAACTAAGACAAAGAAGGGGAGGCAGGACTGATTTACAAGGTTCTCACTTGATACAAGCCAATATGCAAAAGAAAAGGCACCCAATCTCGGCAAGGGCATCAAGTTGACTCCAACTGGCCATGTTGGTCGATGTTTCGAAATCAAAAACTATTGAAAGAGGAAATTCAAAGTAAAATGCCCATAAGGGCAAAATAAAAGTTGAAAAAGTTAAGTCCCACGTGACTAACCATCATGGAAAAATCCAAAAAAGCCAGAGGTTCTCCGAGGTTAGAAATGCAATCGATATTCAGGAAACAACCAGTTGCAACTGAAAGGACCGAGACCAAGTGACTTAAACAATCAAGGACACAAAACCAACCACCGTTTCAAACTGACAAATTGTTTTTTGTTTGAAAAAAAAATAGGGAAACAGGTGCAATCCAAAAGCAACCTTGCAAGAAGCAAGTGCAACCAAAACGAAATTACGCAAAGGTTAGAAACAGTTTTGCAGCAACTACTGCAAAAGGGAAGTCTTCTCCAAACTCTTTCCCGTATATTACTCATTATCTTAAAAAAAATATATGAAATTAAAAAGAAAGAAAAAAAAATCATAGTAGTATAGGGTCTCCAATCCCTAGCTGCGTTTTCCAACATAGGGTCTCCATTCCCTAGTTGATAATTTTTAGACATAGGGTCTCCACTCCCTAGTCTCTTTTCCAACATAGGGTCTCCACTCCTTAGTTAATAATTTTTAGGCATAGGGTCTCCACTCCCTAGTCGCTTTTCCAATATAGGGTCTCCACTCTCTAGTTGATTTTATTTTTAGACATAGTGTCTCCACTCCCTAGTCGCCTTTTCCAACATAGGGTCTCCACTTCCTAGTTGATTTTATTTTAGACATAGGGTCTCCACTCCCTAGTCG